GCGGATAGTAAACCATTTGCCGTCCGGAAGCCGTGCGGGTAGTAGACTATGGCCATGCCGCATAGTAAATAATTGCCGTGCAGATAGTAAACCATTGCCGTCCGGATAGTAAACCATTGCCGGTTCACCACTGGCCACCAAGGCTTACCTCTGACAACAGACTTCGAAATTCAGAGTCTATCGGCTATCGTACCCTCAACTTACCTATTCATTACAATTAAGCCCTAGCTTACTTAAAATTATAAAACTCAAGAGCCCAATTCATTGGCCAATCGGCACCCACCCCACCACCTACGTAATGCCTTGGGCTCCAACTTAGTAATAATAATATAAAACTTAAACCATAAATCTATTAATGAGTGTGTGTTACAACGTAGCCTTAACTTACCTATTCATTACATTACTCTAGCTTACCTAAAATTACAAAACTCAAGAGCCCAATTCATTGGCCTTTCGGCACCCACCCCACCACCTACGTAATGCCTTGGGCTCCGACCTAATAATAATAATGTAAAACTTAATAATTAACCTACCTATCGATACACTTACAGCGTTTTTATTTACATTACAAGATTGTTCCTATAATTACAAGATTGTTCCTATAATTACATTATTGCCCTTAACTACCTATCACATTAAATTACTCTCAACCTTAGTAATAATAAATTAGAATGTGTAATGAAAATATAATAATGCTCAAATACTAACATATGTGTTTATGCATGTATTTGTGTGTGTGTGTATGTGTAATACGCTGATGCGTGTAATATGGGTGCAAGAAAAAAATAGAAACGATAAACTTACGCGCCTACCTATTCAACTACATTAGTGTTGGATGCCTCCTATCTATCCTACCTACAATTAAAATTATGCCTATCAAACCTACCTATATAGCTACGTAATGTAATTGTATGTGTGTGTGTGTGCGTGTGAGCATTCTTACTTAATGTTAAATTACAGAGAAAAAAGAATAAAACGTATCCCAGCCAAGCGTGTATTCTTTGCCACTAAATGAACGAACGTAGCCTGACATCTTCCATGATGAACTCCTCTGGAAGCTTCAACCTGAATGAAATGTTTAAAATGAAAAAATCTTATTTATTTCATTTAATTTAAATGAAAATAGAGAAACGAGCCGCGGTGAAAGCCGCAAGCCGGAAAAGCCAGCCAAATGGCAAAAAAGGAACCGCAAAGAAACCGTAAAACGAACCCCAGCCAGGCGTGCATTCTTTGACACTGAATGAACGAACGTAGCGTGACATGACAACCATTCTGATCATCCACAATAAACTCCTCTGAAAGCTTAAACCTGAATGAATGAACCTGAATGAACCTAAATGAATGGAAAAATCTTATTTATTTAATTAAAATGAAAATAGAGAAACGAAAAGAAGCCGACCGGTCGGCAAAGAAAAGAACCTCAAAGAAAGGTATCTATATAGGATTTATGCTCTATATAACTCTATATAACTCTATATAACTCTATATAACTCTATATAACTCTATATAACTCTATATAACTCTATATAACTCTATATAACTCTATATAACTCTATATAACTCTATATAACTCTATATAACTCTATATAACTCTATATAACTCTATATAACTCTATATAACTCTATATAACTCTATATAACTCTATATAACTCTATATAACTCTATATAACTCTATATAACTCTATATAACTCTATATAACTCTATATAACTCTATATAACTCTATATAACTCTATATAACTCTATATAACTCTATATAACTCTATATAACTCTATATAACTCTATATAACTCTATATAACTCTATATAACTCTATATAACTCTATATAACTCTATATAACTCTATATAACTCTATATAACTCTATATAACTCTATATAACTCTATATAACTCTATATAACTCTATATAACTCTATATAACTCTATATAA